TATTCTAGCATATTATATAAATGTAGGTCCATTTCTACTGACCCTGACCCTATTGCCACACATAAAGAGAGCACCGGTAGCCCGTATAGTGAACGTGTCGTCAAGTATGCACGCGATCGGGAAAATCTATTTCGATAACATAAACCTCCGAAACGGCAAATACACGCCAACCCGGGCTTACGGTCAGAGCAAACTGGCTGTAGTCCTGGGCACCCGAGAACTGGCTAAACGGTTGGGTAAGAGTACCGTTACGTGCTATGTATTAAATCCCGGGGCTATTAAGACTGATTTGCAACGACACAGCGATATGAGTGAAGGCATGATGAACATGATGTTTATGAAGCCAGATATGGGCGCTCAGACCACATTGTATTGTACGCTGCAGGAGGAACTGGATCATGAGTCGGGATTTTACTACAAGTATGTTATAAATAAATTGTATATAACATTATAAATTTGTCAGTACTTTTAGCCATAATATTATATTACAATAAGTTAGCATATAAAATATAAGCATAATAAAGAGCAAAATGGTTTTATTTACACATAAATTAGAAAAAGTGTTCCCGGGGGTAAAAGTTATTATTTATATAATTAATAGTTGCCAAATATTCTGTAGTCTAATATTTTTGATTTTATTTTGATAGCAATTGTAAACGAGTGGATAAAATGGTAAAACAGGCGACGGATGACGAAACCGCTAATATGTTGTGGGAATTGACGTGCGATTTGGTGGCACTGGAAGATGCACTCAGAATATAAATCTTACATTTTATACCATATTTATCTTGTATTTAATCTGAAACAAGTTTAAAAATTTAATTTTTCATATTATTATTTATTATAAAATCTGGTTGTACGTCGAAAATTTAAAACATCTTATTTATAATTAAAAGTTATCATTGGTTTTATTATATTATACTGTGTATGTAAATTATTTGTCATCTTAATTTCACAAATAAAATGATATTAATGAACATGGCTGAAATGTGTATATAAGATATTTTTTAATGCATAAAATTCTTGTAATTACGAGTTTTATTAAATTAACAAATATAACTACAAGAAATACTAAATAAATGGAAAAATATTGTTTTATAGCTAAAACGATTGATTATGAGTATAGAGAACAAGTTTATAAAGTAAATACAATATTTTTGAATTTAGTGTAAGTTAACTAGTATATATTCTTTGCAAAATTCAGCAAACAAAGTGTTTATAAAATACATTAATTATAAATCATTATTTTCTATCATTGATAGTCTATTGCACCCGTTATGAGCACTACTTTACCGCTAAAATCTTTTGAATTTGACATAATGTCATCATTTTAATAGATTTTGTTCATCTGTTTTGGGAAATGTTTATTTGTATTTTAATTATGTGTTCATTTACTTTATATACAAGCTAAAAAAATTGCACTTAATATTGGACTAAATGTGGACTTAATAAGCACTTAATCATTATATAAAGAAATGTACTGAAATTGAACACATTGCTTAATAAATATTGTACACTGATAGATAACCAAGGGCGTTAGAGTTAAAATTAGAAATAAAATTATTTTGTATTTAGTTTTTTACATTTGAATTGATCTAAATGTTAATTTAATAATATAGAAGCAAACAGATTAAAGTTGAATTATATAAAGTTAGCAAAGTAACTATTTATAATAAATGTTCATTATTGTTCATTATAAATGTTTAATAAATATTAATTGCTTAGATTCTTTATTATTATATTTTATAAAAAAATATCTAAATATTATAATAATGCGCATGTTACATGTAATAAAATTTTAAGTTTGTGAAACTTTTAATATTTATACCATTGTTATAAGTAAGAAAGATTTATTGTTCGTGTAGCATGTCACTGTAGTGAAATAGCAATTATAGTATGTTTTAATGTTAAACTTGATCACAATTACAATAAATACTAATGGATTGGCTCGTTTAGTGCTATTCTAGTCCACAGATACCTTTGGATGCCTTTAGAGCTGTACAGACACTTCAACAGCTCATAAACGGTTAGTACACACGGCCTTCACATTTGGTACATAGGAGGGCGGGTAGTTTAGCACAGACATGACAGCGCATTCATAACCACTTTATAAGGAATTGCATTCAACACTATTCCTACAAAAATAATCAATAGCCAGGAATTTGTGTTTATTATATGACTTGTGTTTAAGGCGAGAGTTGGTTTAATATTTTGAATATAAATATTATTGTGTTTTTAAAATTATCTTGATACTTTAATAATGGGTGTGTGGAGTCAAATACGATTAGTATATTTCTGGCGGCTTCTGGTGGTAATGGTCTATGAATTCACGACTAATTTCTTCGGATTTAGACGTAAAGTAAAGACAGATAAGAAACTGAATGGACAGGTAGTTGTGGTGACCGGTGCTAACACTGGCATTGGAAAGGAGACGGCGTACCAAATGACACTCAGGGAGGCCAAGGTATATAAAAATAATTTTTATTAATTTAATCTTGCATGATTTATCAGATAATATAAATAGTTATACTGTATTAAATATAAATGCATATAATCATAAGATTAGTGATAATTTCCTAGCAATTAATAGTGATAAACATAAATACATTTTTTATTAATAATAAACTTTTAATTATAGTGAAAGGTTATTTTAAAACATTTATTATAATTATTAATAATATAAATTAGACATTTTCAAATGCACGTTAAGTTACATTACATTAAATATTTAATTATCTGAATATCAGGTATACATCGGGTGTCGGGATGTGAAGAAAGGAGAGACGGCTGTCAAAGAGATACAATCCATGAATCCAAAGGCAGACATAAAACTATTAAAACTTGATTTGTCTTCACTTCAATCGGTCCGCCATTTCGCCAAAGAGTTGTCTCA